CTGACTTCCCCTTCTCCGGCAAGCGGCTTCCCTTCCCTGCGCCCCTTTCCCCTCTCTGGGACGTGGAGATCTCATACGTTCCCTGTTGGGGGCGCTGCACGAGTCCCCGTTCGGAGACGCCCTCAGAGCGAGACACAGAGAACGCGCAGCACGCAAGGGTGGCTGCTCCCCGCGGCCTGCCGCCGTTTGTCTTCTGAGGCTGCTCTCCCTGAGTGTTTTATTTTCTGGTGATGGATTCCAGCTCATGTTCGGGGCCAGCACCTGCATACAAATGCCAAGAGGACAGGCGGCCCCCGGGATCTGTCCTCGCCTGCTCTCCGCCAAGCGCCCGGCTGTGAGTTCCCAACAGGCCCGGAAGTCCCAGGGCCTCCTGCGAGGCTGGGACCACCATGCCGTGTCGTGGCCGGAAGCAACCAGGCGGCTGGGTCCTTTGAGATCAGGCGTCCCTGTGAGACAGTAGCCACTGGGAGGTCTTTCGGGGGACTTGGGAGCTGCTGGGACAATCAGTTGCTGTTTGGGGGAGAGAGGTTGGCAGGGCCTTGCCCCTCGGCACCGAGCCCCTTCCAAGCCTCTGCCAAGCCTGGGTCTGGTTTCCCACTGCCTGCCAGTTCCTGGGCCCTCGGGGAGGGGCCAGCGCCATTCACTGCCCCGCCCTCCAGAGTCTGAGCTGAGGACAAGGAGGAGGCCGGAGCAGGTTTGCAGAGCAGCAGCATGCACGCTCTGCCTCAGCCTTGCCCTCTGCCAGGCTAAGGGCAGAACGCTTGGAACCAGCCCCCTACGGATGCCTCCACCGGGCTGCCAGGGAATTGCATAGCCCTGGGGATACAGAGGCCTGTGCGCCTGAGTGGCCCTAGTCAAATGCCTTGGCTGGGAAAACAAAACAAAGCCTCAGCCCTGGGCAACCTCTGTTCTGCGCAGGGAGGTGGCAGTACAAGCTGGAGATAGTGCCAGGGAGCAAAATAAAGCAGCACGAGAGGACACAGGTGACAGTGCAGGCCCTGGCTGTGCCGAGATAATGGTCTCTCTGAAAAGGTAATATCTGAGCAGAGACCCAAAGGGTGCAGTGGAGGGGGAGAGGCATGTGGGTGTCTGGAGGAAAAGGGTTCAGTGAAGGGAACAGATTGTGCAAAGCCGCTGAGCAAGGAGAGGACGGGCGCCCGGAGGCCAGTGCGGTTGACATGGAGGGTGGAGAGGGAGAGGGAAGGCCTCAAGGCCAGAGGGATGAGGCTCCTCCCAACCTACCATCATCCCCAGCTTATAGACAGGGACTGAGCTCAGAGAGGTTGGACAGCTTGCCTGGGGCCACACAGCTGATACACGGAGCACCTGGCTGGACACCCCATCGTTCTGATGCCAGAGCCTCTGGTCTCTGTGCTACCGCGAGGCTCTGTTATGAAGTACAGGTGGCACCTTACAGTGGACTCTCTGGGTGCTGACTGTCCGTTTTCCATTTCACATCCAGTGGGGCTGTGTGCCGGGCACCCTCGACCTGAGCCACCTTGGGGAACTCTCCTGGGGATCTGGAGGCTGGCTCTGCACTCACTAGGCCCTGGGCGTTTCTGGGCCTTGGCTTGCTCACCCGAGACCTAGGGCTAATTCTGTCTGCCTCAGGGGCCTGGCGAGAACTCAGAACATGGTGGGTGATCAGAAGACATTTACCTCCATCCCTCCCAGGCCTCTAAATCCGTGGCTCTCACACCTCAGAGCAGCCTTCCCTGGGCATGTGTCCTGGCGGTCTGCAGGCCGGCGGTGGGGGTGGGGGGCTGAACCAGCCTCCCCAGGGGGTCCTGATGCAAGGGGCTGGAGGAGCCCCTCCTGGGGCAAAGCTGCTGCAAAGCCTTGTTCAAATGGGAGAAAGTGGCAGCCCCCTCCTGTCCGCTCCCAGGGCTCTCCCGGCTTTTCCTCTGTGGCATCCATCATGCTTATAATTACTTGTTTAGCATCTGTCTGCTTCTCTGGGCTGTGTGCTCGTGTTCTCGTCTGGCCTTGTTCATGGCTGGGTCCCCAGCACCAAGCAGCCTGCCTGGGGTGTAATAAGCGCTTGTTGGGAAAACAAACAAACAGACGCCCGGCTGGCTGAATGGCTGCGTGGATGCTCTTTGCAGCAGCTGGCCTCGGTGTTCCCGCCCCCGAGGCAGGGGTTCTAACCCGGGCTCTGCAGCCACACACGTCTCACGTCTCGTGTGATCTTGGGCAAGTCACAGAGTCCTCTGGGGAATCTGATTGATTAGTGAGGAGGGGTGGGGCTCGGGCGATCCCAGAGAGTTCTGGGGAACATGTGGGAACAGATTCTAGGGAGAGGAAAGTGCATGAGCAAAGACAGGAGACGAGAAAGGGCACAGCCAGATGGTCAGACCGCCACGGGACCGCAGCTCACCCTCCACTGTGGGGTGTGTGGGAGGGCGCTAGTGTCTCGGGGTGGGCAAGCTTGTCTCAGTGAATGAGGAAGCTAAGGCACAGAGAGGGTAAAGCCTTTGCCTGACGCCCCTTAAGGGGTGGGTAGCAGGCAGTTTTCACCCCCTCCTGTGGACCAGGTTGGGAGATGATGTCGTGGAGCAGGGGGCAGGGCAGGCCTTTTTGGGGGAGCCTTTCAGGCTGGTGCTGGGGGCCTTGAAGCTCCAGCTGGTGAGCCCAGATTTAGGTCTGAAGGTGCGAGGAGCCCAGAGAAGTTCTCCGTTTGCTGGCTCTGCGAACCGTTTGCTGGCTCTGCGGCGGCAGCTGCGGCTGGAGGGATCAGCCAGACCTCTGCTCACTTCTCCTTCCCTTCCTCACAGAGGAACCTCAGCACGGGGTATCTCAGGGGTATCTCAGTGGGGTCAGGGGTTGTCTGGGCAGCTTAGCTCAGTGGCTGGTGTGTGTGTGTGTGTGTGTGGGTGACTCAGAGTGGGCCCCACGCCTCTTCAAGAGGGAATTCTATCATGGAAATCGTTCGGTGGCCTTCACGTGGCACGGGGTCACACAGCAAGCTGGCACTAGAATATTTTGAGCTTGCAGTAATGAAAGCAAATGGCAATTTGCCGTGTCTTCAGGCTTGAAAGCCTCAGCGCGGCGTTCAGTCATTGGCGGTCGTTATTACCCACTGCTAATGGGGGCTGCTGCTCCTGGGCTGGTGAGGGAGAGAGGGCTCAGAGAGGTTAAGTGACTTGCCCAGCATCACAGGGTGGTAATAGGAGGGCAAAGTTTAAGGTGCAGAGTTTGGCCTCTCCCCCTCCCCCAAGGCCAGCCTGCTCCCCTGAATGGATCAGCTCTGAGCGGTTCCTAAGCGCTGGTTTCCATAGCAGCAGGGCCATTCCTGCACAGCAGATCCTGTCTTCTCTGGGCTTTGCTACTGTGGGGCTGCAGGTGCGGGAGATGCTCTGACTTGGGGGACAGCTGGGTGTGGGGCCAGGAGGCGCTGACAGGCCGTTTGGTCCACCTTGAGGCCCACAGTCCTCACCAAAGGGCCACCGTTTTTCAGTGCTTCTGACTCTGGGGTTGGGTTCACCTCCAGGTAGAGGGTGGGGAGAGCAGTGAGAAAAAGAAATGAGTAAACACTATAAACAGAGAAAGGGGGGAAGCAGAGACAAACTATACAAAACCCAAGACAGAACAAAAAAAACAAAGATACCTGCACTGTTTTCCAGACAAATCATTTCATTTCATCTTTGCAACCTTGAAGGTGGGTTCTGTTTGTTCCCATTTTACAGATGCGGAAACTGAGGGCAATGCCGTGATTCTCAAAGTTTACTGCAAGAGCCAGTGCATCTCTCCTGGGAGGTAGGGTTAGGGTGCTGGTTAAACGGCAGCTGCCCTGACCCTCCCCTGGACCCATGAGCTCAGGGTCTCTGGAGTGGGACCCAGGATCTGCATTTGGGGAGCTCCCAAATTTTCTAGAGAGCAAACTTCAAGAGTGGCCACTGTCGGGACAGCTGCTCTGCCCTCTGCTTAAGTGCATGCAGCACATGAACACAGAGCCAGGATTTAGGACCCAGAAGGGAGCAAGAAAGAGGGGAAAGTGACAAAGAGAAGCCTTTCAAAGCAAGACAGATATGCCTCAGAAGAGAAGGCAGAGAGCAAGAGAGAGAGAGAGAAATGGTAGAAAGAGACACATGGGGAAAGGCCACAGAACTAAGAGAAGGGGCAACCTGGTAGGACTGGAGGGAGCATGACTGACTCTGACTGCCTGTCCCTCTATCCACAACCCCTCACTCGGTCCTCACAGCAGCCTGATGACATGGGTCCTATGCTCCCATTTTATGGGTGAGGAAACTGAGGTGTGGAGAATGAAGGGGCAAAGCCAGGCTTTGAGCCCTGGCACCCGGCTTTGGGAGAGGTCATGGCTCTCACGAGCAGGCTAGACTGCCTCTTAAGTGAAAAACTACTGTGGAGAGAGGAGAACCCAGGCGAGAGTCAGGCTTCAGCTCCAAGCAGAGCCCCCAACAGCTCAGGTCGGAGCCTGAGCTCCACCCGGAGTCCTGAGGCCCAGGTGGTGGGGAGCCACAGTCTGGGGGCCTGTCTGCTTCCCCCTCCCCACCAGGCAGACAGAACAGGGGCTTAGACCTGGGTCCAGATGTTGGCTCCATTGCTTACTTTCTGTGTGACTCTGGGCAAGCTACTTAGGTTTTCTGAACCTCAGTTTCTCCCTCCTGTAAATTGGAGATGCTAATAAGACCTATCTCAAAGGGTTACCAAGGGGCCTTATCTGAGATGGAACAGGAGACGTGCACAGAGCAGAACCTGGTGCCAGTGAGTGCTCAGTAACAGCTGTCAGGAAGCACTTAGAAGCCCAGGGGTCATACAGAAGCCCTCAAGAACAGTGGGTTTCTTGGGGCTCTCTTTGCTCTAAATGGGGGTGAGGGAGTCCTGCCCCTCTCTGAGCCCAGGGCAAACCTACGAAACACAGAATCATTGATGGAGTAGAAGTAATGGCTCCACTCGTGCCCCATCTGCTGCCACAGGCCACAGGCCCTGGCCCTGATAGCCAACCAGGTCTTGCTGGGAGCCCTCAGCCTGTCACTCACCAGAGCTCATGATCCAAGTCAGCTCTGCCCAGGTGCTGCCATGGCCCCATGGCCACTGCTGTGTCCACCAGGCCCATGCAGGTATCCTTCAGGTGTCTGAGTCCAGGGACACCCTGTCTACCTGCCAAGAAGAACGAGTCCTTTCATTTTATAGATGAAGGGACAGAGAGAGGCTCAGAGAAGTAGAGTGGCTCACCCAGGTCACACACCCAGGGGGCGATACAAGCAGGACACACACCTACCTCTATTCCGTTCCGTTGCCCCCAGCAAGCATTCATTCAGCCCTGCTGTACACCAGCCATTGGTGGTGCATGGGAGCATGGTCATTACCTGCATCCCTCTCACGGGCTGGGGGCCAGCCGAGGAAGTAGGAGGTCCTGCCCACGTGGTGGGTGTTCTGGCAGCAGCTGGCATTCATGTAACACGCCAGGCACGCTCCCAGAACGCTTTCTGTGCAGACTCATCACCCCTGTCCACATGCAGGTGGGGATGGGCAGCCGACCTTGGTCCAGCACCTGCTCTGAAATGTGGATGGTCTGGAGTTGACTGGGAAGTGAGCTGGGGAGGTCAGGAAACAAGCCTGTGACCCCTGAGCCTTTCTCCAGCGGCAGTGGGCGGTGTGAGTTCGTGGCTTTACTCTCGTGACCGTGCAGCCCAGCTAGAGCTCTGATGTCCGTTCACCCTGTGGTGGATGACACTGTGCTGCATCTCACACGGCTGGATCATTGGGACTCCACGCACTGTGTGAGCGTGAGTCTGCTCTCATTACCCCCATTTTACAGACGAAGAACTTGAGGCACAAGGATTCTAAGCTGGGAGGCTTTGAACCTGGTACTTGGGTGCCAAGGCCTGTCCATTGATCCTGCTTCTTAGTTGTCCGGGAAGGGAGGGCTAAGGGGCAGTTAAGGCTCTGGCCGACTCCCCAGTGGAGATGGGATGCAGACTAGACCAGGAGACAGGCAGGAGTCAAGATGGAGACCTGGGGGGAGGGGATGGGGATGAGAGCCCCGGGCCTGGGAGTGGGGAGTGCCAGCTGGAAGGCAGCATGAGCGGAGGGCGTCTGCCAAGGCCGCAGGGCCCACGAGCCCCTCCAAGCCTTCTGCAGAGTGGCGGCAACGGCGACCTCATCTTGTCACCAGGTAACCCTCTGTGGGGAGAATGAAAGCAAGGCCATGCCCTCCTTTGCTCAGAACGCTCCCTTCGCTCTCTGATGTTTGCAGAGAAAAGCCAAAGTCCTTGCAGCAGCCTGGGAGGCCCTGCCTGGCGGACCCCTGCTGCTCCTCTGGCCTACCGCAGTCAGTGTCCCCTCGCTGGCTTGCTCGCTCACGTGGCTCCAGCCGTGCCTTCTGGAGCGTGCCGGGCACGCTTGTGGTGGCCCTTCTGCCTGCAAAGCTGTTCTCTGCAACCTCTCTGCGGCTCCTCACCTTTTTTAGGGAAGCCTTTTCCTGCCCACCTGATTTTAAATTGTACCCCCTTACCCTCTATGCCCCTTTCTTGATTTACTTATTACTTTTTCACAGCATTTATCAGCATCCGAGAGGAGACACTGTGTATTTTGCTTATTTGTTTAGCGTATGGCTGCCCCTGTGATGTCAGCTCCCCCAGCCTGGGATCTTGCCTGTTTTGTTCACTGCTATATCCCCAGAGCCTAGCACGGTTCCTGGCACATAGCAGGTGCTCAATAAAAGCAATTGTTGAATGAATACAAATATAAACAATGATCTCATTTTATCATCATCATCCTTCTGCAAGCCATTTTCTCTGTTTTGCCGATAGGACATTGAGGCTCAGAGAAGGAAATGGGCTAAACCCAAGGCCACACAGCAAATTAAGGGCATTGTGGCTGCTCAGCTTCCCTGCAGGAAGGAAGGACTTACTACCCAGCTGCGGGGACACAGTAGGCAGGGTCCCAAAGATCCAATCATGTAAAATGCAGCATAATACAGTCTTGGGGCTGATGAACCTCAGAGCTCCCGATCGACTGGTCTGCATGCTCACAAGAGTCAGGACGCAGACACGCTGCCCGCCATGCGCTGGAGAAAGGCCCCGTGGTCACGACTCTGACTTGTATTAACTCACTTAATCTTCCCAACAACCCTCTGCTGTGGCTGCTGCTATCATCCTGCTTTCGCTTTTTTAAAAAAAAGATTTTATTTATTTATTCATTCTTAGAGAGAGGGGAAGGGAGGGAGAAGGAGGGGGAGAGAAACGCCAATGTGACAGAGAAACATCTGTCAGTTGCCCCTTGTACACTCCCGCCAGGGGACCAAACCCGAAACCCAGGCAAGCCCCCTGACTGAGAATGAAACCAGCGACCTTTTGCCTTGCGGGGTGACACCCAACCAACTGAGCCGCACAAATCAGAGCTGTCACCCCACTTTATCGGTGAGAAAACTGAAGCTCAGTTGAGCTAAGTAAATAGTCCAAAGTATCATAATTACCCAGAGCCAGGACTTGGCCCAAGCAATGAGCTCCTACACATGCTGCTCAGACAGCTTCGCCCGACCCCAAGCCCAGGTGTGCGGTTTGGACATTAACCTAGAAGTCTTGGACTAAATACCTGAGGCCTGTCTCCAGCAAACAGAACTGGATGCAAGGAGTTAACCTTTCCAGCGATGAGGTTTCAAACTGTGGAAGAGAAGCATCACCCAGAAGCCGACTAGCATCCCACACTCACCTCCACACCGAGGCCAGGGTGAGGAGTCTACTTCTACGGCAGAAGCCTTCGGAATGTGATTTCCTGAGGTGTTGTCACCTCTTCCCCAGCAACACCCAAACCCTCTGGGGAAGGCCTCCCTTTGAGAAACACTCCCCCGGAACCGGAACCGGCTGCGCGTGGGCTCCGCCTCCCCGCTGGAGTTAGCGGCCACCCAGGGACCAGAGAAAACTGACTCTGGAGGTTTTGGGGTAGGACCGGTCTGGGCTAAAACCTGCCCTCCCTCTGACAGCCCATCCTAGCCCTCATTTAGCTCCTTTTCTTCATTTAGCTCCTTTTTATTCTGCAGCTACTTGCTGAGGACCTACTGTGTGCCATGCAGCATCACAATCAGAATCTCATTAAAGCCTCACGACAGTTTTGCCCATCTGGTCAGTTTGCAAAGGCAATGAATTGATGTTTGTGGAGCACTTTCTATGTTCCTGGCATTAAACTAGACACCAGAGACACCACATAGAAGAAGACAGATAAGGACTTGGATCTTGGGGACCATATGGTCCAGGTGAAGGAGATGGACAGATGAGAAAAGAGGCAACTGTGGGCAGAATTGCAGAATAAAGAGAAACGCAGGGGGCTCTGCGAACACGGAAGAGGAGCTCAGTATATGCTTGTGCTGCGGTGAAAAGCCCTGAGGTTCCTGCAGGATCATAGCTCTTGGGTGGCTCTCCAAAGTGCTGCCTTACTATGCAGGGCAGGCCCACTGCCGTAGCAAACACACCCCAAATCTCAGCAGCTCCGCACAACCATGTTTATTTGTCACTGAGTCACAGCCCTACACGGGGCAACTCCTCACTGTCATCCAGAGATCCAGGCCCTTCCATCCAATGGCTCTGACATCCTTTGGGGTCTGAGTTATTTTCTGGGCCTTGTGCATCCCCCTGCAGAGCGGAGGAAAGAGTGAGGCATGGAGGACCACATGGGAGGTTTCACGGGCTTGGAAGGGACTTGGAGCCAACTCACCTGGGGTATCAGGGATCGAGATAGAGACATGAGAGTGAGGAAGGGAGTGGTGTCAGCACCCAGAAATTCCCCCAGGTATTTTCAATGGGGAGAGGCAGTTTTCTTACACTGTATTTATTTATTTTTAGAGCAAGGGGAAGAGAAGGAGAGAACATCGATGAAAGAGAGAAAGACTGATGGGTTGTGTCTTGTACTCGCCCTAACTGGGGCGGAACCCGCCACCCGAGCATGTGCCCTGACCCAGAATCTAACCAGTGACCTCTCGCTTGGCGGGACGTCACCCAACCAACTGAGCCACAGCCAGTCAGGGTGGGAGAGACAGTTCTCCTAAACAATGAGGGTGCTGGCGGGGATGAGAATTGGGGTGGCCGCACTTCTGACCCATCGAGGTCCATTCCTGTGTGCTGGTCAGGGCTCCCTTGGCTCCAACGAGCAAAAACCCAACTCAGACTCGCCTAAGAAATAAAGGGTATGTGTGGGCTCCGGTCAGGGAAGGTGAGTCCAGGGATGGCTGAGCAGAGGGACTAAACACAGTCATCCTTTATTCTGGGCTTTATGCTAAAAACCGGCTCTCGACGTGTAGTAAGGACGATGGTCACCAATGGGCAAACCCAGGCTCAGGTATCCCAAGACCAGCAAGCCAGGCAGGAGAGAAGGCTTCTTTCTCCTCCAAATCATACATCCGCATACGTGTCCTTACACCAATCCGAGAAAAGTACTCTGGTTCCTGTTTGGGTGGTCTTGATGGAAGCCTCGTGAAGCCCACCTGGTGTTGGGGAGGAGCCGTTTCACAAAACGGGACTCAGAAAATCCCCACATGTCCACTGCAGGGACCTTACCAGAATGTTCCAAGAGCATTGGGCCTATCACACCGTTCTAGATGTCAAAGGAGATAGGAAACATGAGAAAAATCGGTGGTTAATACCTGTGGTAATAGCCAATTTCTGGGATCGAGGTATGGACCTTGTGATTTTACAATGTCAACAGAATCTTTTTTCCTCCCCCGCTTCAGTTCAGAAACAGTAGCAGGAGCTCAAAGAGTCAAGAGACAAAGAACAAATGCAGCGTAGAGACAAAGCCCTGTAGAAAACACAGGCAGAGGCAACCGCTGGTCTGGCCCTCAGAACCGGGGAGGCTTGCTGCTCCGGGAACAGGCGTGTGCGCCAGCCCCGACCACCATCCTCAGATGCGGGGGGCAGAGCACGTCCTCACAGGTGGCCACAGGGAACCCAGCTCCCCTCTCCGCTCCCAGATCCGTCAGTCAGTCAGTCTGGGATCGCTGCTCTGATGGAGGGCCCCCACCCCCTTCCCAACTGTGATGCCCTGGGACCCTGGGAAGTACCAAGGAGCACCCTCTCACGGGGGGAGCTTCAGCTTCCTGGGAAAGCAGGAGGAATCTGTGAGAAGCAGGGAGTCAGAGAAAGAAATATACTTGTTTCCCTTTGTTTTTCAAAAAATGATTCTTCAAAGAATACAATCTACTATGAAATTTCAAAAGAAAAAAAGACAAAAGAGAATTGTTAAAACAAAAGCCACCTTTAATTCCACCATCTAGTGTTAACTATCATTACATGTTGGTGTGTATCCCTCGGGCCTTTGCGAGTGTGTGTGTTTCAACAAAATGAGAAACACGCTTTATGCACAATTCCTATTCTGCTCTCTTTAACATTCTGTAGAAAGTATTTCTGCATGCCCCCAGGCTGCAGGTGGCACAAGGGCAGAGGCAGGAATTGTGTCTGGTGACCACTCCATCCTTGGGGCCCCGCCTGGGTGCCATGCTAAAAAAAATTGTCGAAAATAACAGGTAAAATATTTGCCAGGTGACTTTTAGGCTTCAGGTGATTATTACACCCTCACATGAAGCTATGCAGCAGGCACTTCTATGAACCACATCTTCTTGCAGAAGAGAAAACTGCGGCTGGAGAGGGGAAGTCACTTGCCCAAGGTCACAGCTCCGGGTCACACCTGTGCATGAGCACACCCTTGTGCACACATTTTCCCATGTGGCACATTTTTTTTTTTTACCTACCCCACTTGGACTCAGGAGCTTAGGGGACAACTCTCTTCCCTGAGACAGGACTCCCCATTCGAAAAGAAGGTCTGGCCCACCCTGTGGGGGGTCCCTGAGGGCTGTGCTGGGGTCTGCCAGCATTCGGTCAGTGCCCATTGGGCCAGCCTTAGCCAGCCTGGATCCATCCTTACTTGGGTCCCGTCACCCTTTCCCCGGTACCAGGCTGCACATGCCAGTGGGCCTGCCCGTCCTCCCGGATGCCAGGGTCTTCCGTTATGTCCGCTCACTATTTTCTAGAACTTCTCTGGGCAGATGGTATTGAACAGCCACTCATATCCCTGTGGCCTTTTTTTTTCTATTTCAGGGCACAGTGGCCCTGCATCCTCTGCCAGCTCACGAGTCTGAGTGGAGACATTCTCTGGCCATCGGAGCCTGCTCCGCTCCCAAGCCTGCATGGTGGGTCAGGAGTGCCAGGGAATGGAGGCCTCTCAGAAGCAGCCCTCCGCCACTTGCTATAGAAATTGGCACTTAAGCCCCCCAGCTCCCTTGCTCTCAGGGGGCCCAACTCTGCGGCACTGGCTCCCAGAACTCCGCAGCGCAGCGGGGCTCGGCTTCGGTTGCTTCATGATAACCACCCAACGGCTTCCTTCCCTTCCCTTCCCTGTCTCGCTTCCCCTCCCCCCAGTCAGCGCGTCTTGGGATCGCCTCCTACAGAAGCTTGAATCCTTGGCTCACGGTCTGTTTCTTAGGGAACCCAAACTAAGACTTCCCGCTGCCATCACCCACTTCAGGCCTCCCCCACCTGCGTTCCCTGCAGGCTCTGTCTCCACTCTCTCCTCCAATCCATTCCCCACACTTGTCCCCAGAGTCACTTTTTGAAATATGTTGTGTCCACTCCGTGGCTTTGCTGAGGTTCCCTAGCCTTCAGAGTCCTCAGCACAGCGTTCCAGGCTCTGTGTGGCTGTGCTCCACTGACCTGTCCCCAGAACCCCACCGAGCCACAACCCTCGCCCTGTGCTGGGCCCTACTGACCTGTCTCTTGTGTTTCTACCTTTGCACTTGCCGTTCCCCCCGCATGGCATGTCCTTTTCTATCTTGATCACTCAAAAAACTCCTACTCATTCAGCAAGACCCACCTCAGGAGTCACCTCCTCTCTGAAGCCTTCCTAGACTACTCTAGCTTTGACAAACCTTCCCTTTCTGTGTGTTGCATTTGTACATTACTCACCCTTTTGTACAAGGCTTGTCTTATCTTATTACAATGATCTATTTATACATCTTTTCCACAGGGCTGCGGACTCATTGAAAGCTGGCTCAGTCCTCCTTGGCTCTCAGCCCAAGGCCCAGCGCTGTCCCGGGGACAAATTAGGCTTCTAATGCATACAGGTGTCCCTCGCTAGCCAGACTCTTGCTCCTATCTGTTCAAACCTTAGGAACCAAATCCACAAAAAGTCACCTGAAGTCCCTCACAATTCCGAACCCACTGTCCCACCCTGCACCAGCACTTTAGGAGTGGCATGCATTTGGGTGGCAAGAGATACTTGTGTGTGAATGAATTAATTACTTAATGAATGAGGGAGTTGAAAGCTGAGAACGCTCGTCAACTCTGGGCACAAACCTGCGGGAAGCTGGAAGAGAGAAGGCAAAGAGGGAACATGGAGACGCCGGGCCAGAGCCAAGAAAGTTGTTTTGCTTTGGAATATATTATTTTTGCAGGTTGCTATAGTTACCGCTGTGAAATTAAAAATTAAAACCTTGTGAAAGAGAGAGGGTTGACTGAGATGAGGCAGTTCCTTGACAGGCTGAGTTATTTATCTTTTCTCCATGTAACATCTGGTTATGTGCTTGCAAATTTATTTTTAATTCGGAGCTCTAAAAAGGATTTCGTGGTGGTGCGAGGGTGCTCGGTTGATTGGCTCGGGACGGGAAGGTGAAGCAGGTGGTATCTCGGGGTTGCTGGTGACTCCAGCTTGTCCCCTGGCCTTTGTCCCCTGCTTCTGAAACAACCTCTAGGAAGTAGGGGTGGCTCCAAGGCGTTTTGGACCCCCTGCCAATCAAAAGGCAGCCGTAACCATGGTTCCCAGTTGCAGAGCCAGGATGAGAGC